AGATAAGTCTAGGTTTAGTATTTAATGACTTCACTGATATTCATGTATGTATAACATACTTGTGGAGGAGCAGGTTAGGTTTTGTTCCCGGTATGGTAATGGTATAACCTATCTTATAAATCTTTTTTTTTTTTTTCGGAATGGTGGATTGAACATAAATCATTTAATCTTTGTTTTTTTGCCCATAACATGGGTGATAATTTGCATTCTTCTATATGAACATTTTGGAGGATTAAAGAGGAAATTTTTCTCTAATTAAAAGGTAGTTGAGAAGTTATTACTTGAATATATTTCATCTACATGAAACTTAAAATAGCTACCTGCCTTTCCCTTCTTAGACTATTTTGGAAGTGAGTGTTTCTATTATAGTTAAAAGATTTTTTTTAAGCTATGATTTCCCCTAAGTTGCTTGAGGAGGAAGTATAGTTATTCCTAAAATTCTTTCCATTTTTGTAGGATATGCTAGTGAAGTATAAGTGATGTTTTCCCATTTGATTTCCTATTCTGGTACTGAGAATGAACAGTCTGTCTTCATACTTGGTGAGAAGTCAGAAGAAAACCTGAAACCAAACTGGCTGTTTCTTGGCAGCTCAGTCTGGACTTCCACCTCACTTCCTGCTCATTCTGTTTTCTCTGTAGTCTGGGCCAATTGGGCAGCTCAGTGTTTTAAATTAAAATAAAAGATACATTTCTACTTTGAGAACTCTTTGTTTCATAGTTTGCTTTACACTGTAGGATTTTGCCCTTTTTCCCCATTCAAAGGAATGATAGGTAAAAATGACCTTGTTTCATATATATCCCAAAGCATTATCATTTTTTATTGAGCCAAGATAAAATTTAAGAAGGTTCCATTAATACAGTGCTCTCATGGCTAACCTACCTGTGTGAATAATTTTAAAATTTGCATAGATTCATCCTTGGACTTCAGTACATAATTAAAGAGGTCTTTTTCCCTAGGTTTTAAAAATTGAGGTGTGTTATGGTTTTTCCTATTTTGCATTTTACAACATTTTCATAATTTTTTGAAATAAGAAAAAGAACCACTTCTGTGTTGAAACTATAATCTTCCTTTGTTTTATAAAGTTTCTAAGGCTTTTTTTTTGGTGGAATCAGGGATTGAACTCACGCTCTTGTGCTTGCCAGGGAAGCGCTTATTCTACTGAGCCATCCCCCCGGCCCCATGTTTTATAAAGTTTATATAATTTTCCTGGGAACCCTGAGCTCACCATGCTAGCCACTGAAACTGGGTGTTGTGGCGCATGCTTGTAATCCCAGCTGGGGAGGCTGAGACATGAGGATCACTATAGGTCAGAGCTGCATAGAGAGAACCCGTACCAAATAATTAATTAATTAAAAAATATATATCATGTTTTTTGTTTCTTCATCAAAAATGGTAAATTAGGAGCTTACCCAGTCTAAATGAACTGATCTTTGTAGAGGACTTAATTGCACATCTGTAATAACCATAAATATTTAAACTGTCTTAGGTGAGCAATATGTTTTTGTTTGGTATAAATGAATTTGTCTATAATTAAATCTCTGTCAACAAATAGACTTCAGTTTCATGAAATATGGTACTATGTTTTATTTTTATTTTATTCTGTTTTTGTATTTTAGGGAAGGGTCTGGTGTTCATGGTCTCACTACTAGATTGGACTCATAGTGATCCACCTGTTTACAGCCTCCCAAGACCTGGGATTATAGGCATGTGACACCATACCCAGTCTCAACTGCTGTCTCAGTGTGCCCCAGGGGGAAGGTCTGGCATGGCAGGCCTCGGGATTGAACCCCTTGCCCCTGCGCCTGCTTGCAGGTGCTTTAATCTGCTGAGCTATTTGGCCAGTGAACTATGGTACTATGGAAATAAACTTTCTGAAATGAGTAGATTTTTTTAGATTGAAAATTTTTTCTATTTTTGTGTTAAAAAGTTAATAAAGATGAAAATGGTCTATGTAAATAACATTGATCCTACTATGGAAACTTAAAAACCATTGATTTTCAGTTATCTTTTAAAATGTTTGATTTTGTTTTTGGCCTGCTTAGCCTATCCTGAGGGTGGGACTGGCATGGCATGTGGTGCTGGGGATCAAGCCTCGGTCCCCTGCACCTGCCTAAGCTTGCCTAAGGAGGTGTTTTAGACCACTGAGCTAGATTCCTGGCCCCCCAAAACTGTTCAACTTTGGATGGGCATGGTGACACGCATCTGTAATCCCAGCATTCACAAAGCTGAGGCTGCAGGACATTTATGAGTTTGAGGCCAGCCTGGGCTACAAAGTGTGTTCGGCTAGCATGAACTGCATAGTGAAACTGTGTTTCAAAAAGACCAAAATAAAGCAACCCCAAAATGTTCAATTTCATGATTTTTAATCTATAGAATTGAAAAGCTAATAAAAGGTGTTTTTTTTTTTTTTTTTTTTTTTTTTTTGTCATGTTGTATTAGACATGAGAATTAAGCCTGTAGTGGTCTGCATTATTTTTGGGTTCCCTTTTCTCAGATATTCCTATCAGAGATTATGTATTGGTATTATGTAATTTTGTCATAAAATGTCAAGTATCACATTTGTGTATTACTCTAGCTTCCTCCAATGATAACACTATTTAACTTGTATGTTATGAACTAGAAGTTAACTTTGCACTGTTATTAACTAAGCTATCGACCTCATTTGGATTTTCCGCGTTGTTTTTAAACTTATAGGCAATTTTAAAAATGCTTTATTGGAACAGCTTTAGATTCATGGCAAAATAGAGTAGGAAATGCAGTATTTCACATACTGTGCCCTGCACAGACCCTTGAGCATCTCCCACCAGAGTTGGTACATTTGTCACACTAATGAACCTGTGGTATCATTTCACCCAAAGCCCATGGTTTACCTTAGGACTCATTCTTGGTTTTCTGCATTCTATGGGTTTGGACAAATTATGTATCTCCCATTGCTTCACTGCACTGAAAGTCCCCTGTGTACCACCTGCTCATCCCTGCCTCCCTCCAATCCTGCCCAACATTGATTTGTTTTTTTTACTGTTTCTATAATTTTGCTTTTCTTTTTTCTTTTGTGTATTTGGTACAGGGTCTCACTACGCAGCTTGGACTCCTAGTGATCTTCCTGCTTTCAGCCTCCCTAGTGCTAGGATTAAAGGTCTGTGCCACCAGACCTAGTCTCCTTGGCTGGCTCAGCCTACCTAGGGACAGGGCATGCTTTTTTTAGAAGTTGGAATCATACAGTATTTAGCCTGTTCAGATGGGCTCTTTTCAATTAGTGTTAGACATTTAAGATTTTTTTCCTATTTTTTTCCCATCTTGATAGCTCTTCCTTTTAGGGCTCAGTAAATATTTCAGTATCTGGCTATGCTAATTTATTTACTCACCTACTGAAAGGCATCTTGGTTGCTGTCAAATTTTGGCAGTATTACCAGTGTCCAGAAACATTCATGTGAGTTTTTGTGTGACTCAGCCTTGTTCAGCCAGGACATGTCCTGTGTTTCAGGGAGTGGCAGAGGATTAAAACCAGTGTCCTAAAATCTTCTTGCCAAACATGATCAGTATTAGAGATTAAGAAAGAGTGGGTCTTAGGCATAGCTTATCTAGTGTCCATTGTCAAGTCTAATCCTATTTGTTTTGTACAAAATATATAACTTTGATAAATAGTTACAAAGTTTATAGTCAGACACAGAACAAGCCAATGAGAGCAAAGCAAGTCCAATTTGTAGGAAGACTTTGACTAAGAAATGTAGTGACTGAGGTAATTAAAGCCAAAATACAAACAACCCCAATATTTATGTGAAGAAGCTTCATTCTGCCAGAACAATCAGGCAAACACTTAGAATTTCCTGTTTTGGTAATTCCAAGACCAAGAATTACAGTTTAGTAACACCTTTAGGATTTTTTAAGTATACACAACTGTAAAAAAAGATTTAATATAGTATGCAAAAACTCTAAATGACTTTTGTACCAACTGGAAACATACATTTTTTGGGGCAAGACTGATTCACCAAGAGAATCATGGGTTTTGCCAGTTATATGGCTACAAACAATTCACCAGGAAACAATTTACCAAAGTATTTTAATTGCTTTTATAACATGTTAAGACAGCAAACTAAACAATTTAGTTACTTGTATGACATAGTAAAGCAATAATCATTACTGAGTGCATTGTACCAAGATAATTACATTTTTAAAAATAAGGAAAGTCATGCATAATAGTATATATAATAATGATAAAACTTTAAACATTTAAGTAAATATGAACTTCCTTAGACAATTTTCTTAAACACTTAAAATTTAAGACAGTAGAGAGCAGAAAAGATTATTTTGAGAAATGCAAAACTTCTTTTCAAAGTTTTGATATAAATTTTGCTAAGCATAAATCAATATCCCAGGCCTGGGGAGATGGCTCAGTAGAATAAATACTTACTTGGCAAGCGCAAGGACCTAAGTTCAATCCCTGGTTCCACAAAAAAAAAAAAAAAAAAATC